GGGAAAGGTTCCAAGGGAGGAAACTGCATCTCAGGATAGGAATCTATCCAAAAAGTTGGTGTGCTTGGAAGCTACCTATTGGAGTATAGGAGAATGCTGCCCACATGGAGGTGGAATGCATCACAGGCCACTGAAGAAGCATGCTGAGAGAAGCCACATACCAGGACCAGGGAGAAAAGCCTGTTCCTCCTCCATTCAGGTTACATCTAGTGTCTTTTCATTTGAACTTGAAGGACTCCCTTTAGCGTTTATTGTAATGCACGTCTAGTGGTAACAAACTTTCTCCATTTTTTGTTTATCTGGGAATGTCTTAATTTCCACCTTGATTTTTGAGGGGCAGTTATATGGTTATAGAATTCTTGGTTGACAGTTCTGCTCTTAGGCACTTTAAATATGTAAGCATACTTCTTTTTGGCCTTCAACGTTTCTGGTGAGAAATTGGCTAATAATCTTGTTGAAGATCCCTTGTATGGGATGTGTCGCTTTTCTCTTGGTGCTTTCAAGGTTCTCTCTTTGTCTTTTGGCAGTTTAATTATAATGTGTCTTAGTATGGGTCCTTGTATCCTACTTGGAATTTCTCAAGCTTCTTGGATTTGTAGAGTCACATCTTTCTTCACATTTGGAAAGTTTCAGCCATTATTTCTTCAAATAATCTCTAACCCCTTTCTCTCTTTTTTCTCCTGAGACTTGCATAGTGCATATATCGATCCACTTGATGGTGTCCCACAGATTATCTCTGCTTGCTTTCCTACATTTTTTTTTCTTTTTACTTCTCAGACTCAGCATTTTCAATTGTCCTGTATTCAAGTTGCTAATTCTTTCTTCTGCCTGCTAAAATCTGCCCTGAACTGGTGGATTTTTCATTTCAGTTCTTATACTTTCAATTCCAAAATTTATCTTTGTTTCCTTAATTTCCATATCTTTGTTGATATTCCCATTTTGTTTACAGATTGTCTTCCTGACTCTATCTGTGCCTTCATTTGGTTCCTGAGCATTTTTAAGACAGTTGTTTTAAAGTATTTGTCTAGCAAGGCCAACATCTGGATTTCCTCAGGGACAGGTTCTGCCAATATATTTTGTTCTTTTGAATGAACCATACTTTCCTGTTTCTTTGTATGCCTTATGATGTTTTCATTAAAAACTAGACATTCAAATCTTAGAATGTGGTAACTCTAGAAATAGGTTCTACCCCTTCTCCAGGGTGTTTTGTTTTGTTTTATGATTTAGTGGTATCCCTGGATCAGGAATCAACCTGAAGTGAAAGCTTAAGGTCTTATCAGGTCTTGTTTGAGCCTGTGTCTTTTCCTAGCAATTTCTGGTGGCTTTCTAAGTTCTTCTAGATGAAGTTGTTTTTAAATGTCTTTGCGCTTAAATTTCTGGCTCCTAAAAGGAAAAAGGAGGGAAATCCCCTGGAAGCCACTTCACCTGGTGGAGGTTACAACAATGCCAGCCATCTTCTGCATCTGCACCTTAACAACTGAAAGTGGCAATTAGCAGTCAGAACACAGAAATCAGATATTTGGAAGATATGGTCCTTATTGCTCACCCTGACTCCGGAAAGTTGCACCAGGAGCACAGACATAGCTGCCTGCCTTGGGGTGAAAGATGGGCAGTAACTGTTACCACACTAAAGGCTGAAATTGAGCAAAATTAACTGAAATTGACCTGGCTTTCCCCTGGAAGCTGCAAGCTTTCAAGTAGACTGCAGAGTTTCACAATAGTTTCTTCAGATAGTTTTTGCCAGTATGATTATTGTCTGGATGGAGAAATGGATTCCCAGTGCTTCCTCCTCAGCTCTCTTCCCTGACATCATTCCCTCTGTCGGTCATTTTGAGATAAGCTCTGATAATATAGTTCAACTCAGTTTACTACTTATTGAAGACCATCCTGTTCAATGCTCTCTGCTGAGAACACAGAACCCAGATATTTGGAAGATAAGATCCTTCCAAATAAGAGGAACAGGAGGAAGACAGCTCTCCATTTCATAAGGTTGGTGGAAAGCAACATAGCAGAAACCCAAACAAGATTTGGAGATGGTCTAGGTAGGAAGGAAAAATGGGGTGGAGGTGACCTCAAAGATGGACAGAGGGTTAGGAGGTGGGAAGTGGGGATTACGGGGTCTGTCAGCTAGATAAGGGGCCACATAGAGACTGCCTGTTGGAGAAGTTGTCAGGGAGAAGCAGCAGCATAAGCAGATCTGGAGGGAGGTGTGCCAAGGCACGTGTCGTATCCCATGGGCTCCACCTCCAGACCCACTTTCTTCTGGATCCATTTCTCTTACATCATATCACATCACATCTCCTCTCCACCTCCTCACTGTCAGGGGTAAAGGTAATTGTTGTATGTGGGTTAGGCAGATGTAAAACTGGAGAAATCAGCTACTGGAAAGGGAGGAAACTGAAGCGTTAATGGAAACTCAGTAACAACTTAGGAAGTTAATCACATGATGTTCACCAATCGCAGTCTATACTCAAGTGTGTAGGAAATGTAGCTTCCTTTATTCTTCTACAAACCCACCTAATTTGTATTTTTATACTCCCTTCCAGTCCATGTTGTGTTCCTCATGACTTCAATGTCTGCCCTGCTTTCTCTGAGTCTGCATCTAAGTTCCGTGAGGAGCATCTGGTCCCTATGTTGTCTGGTTCCTTAGTTTCCTGGGGCTGCCATAACAAAGGACCCCCAACCAGGTGGCTTCAGCAACTGAAAGTTATTGTTGTACGATCCTGGAGGCTGGAAGTCCAAATCAGGGTGTCGACAGGGTTGGTTTCTCCTGAGCAATGTGAGGGAGAATCTGTTCCAGGCCTCTCTCCCAGCTTCTGGTGGCTTGCTGGCAATCTTTGGAGTATAGAAGGATTATCCCAGTCTCTGCTTTCATCTTCTTATGGTGTTCTCCCTTTGTGTGTGTGTGTGTGTGTGTGTGTGTGTGTGTGTGTGTGTATCTCCAGATGTCCTCTTTTTATAAGGACACTTCATATTGGATTAGGGGCTCAACCTACTCTAGTATAGCCTCATTTTAACTAATTTTATCTGTGTCCTGTTGGCCCTATTTCCAAATCCGGTTGCACTCTGAGGCACCAGAGGTTAGGACCTCTGCGTAGAGTTTTGTGGGCCTAGTTCAGCCTGAAACATTGTGCCACGCTGCATCTGCTGCCTCTCTTGCTCCTTCTCTGGCGCCCGCTCATGGGGACTCACTTACTGCCAGGGTGATGTTTTTCCTGCTGATACATGTAACTCTTGGGGGCCAGCCCCTCTCTGCTCCTTCCACACTGTGCCTCGTGGCACAGGATTTGATTGATTCTGTCTGCCAGTGGTACCTGGGCCAGGGTTCCTGGGGAGGCTGTCTGAGCCCCTTCTGCCTAAACACACCAAGCAATCATTTCTCTGAAACTGATGCCTCCCTTGCTTTCTAGACAGGAAGCAGAACACAAAGCCCCTCTTTTCTCAGATTCCATAAACCTTCTAGAGGTTTAGCTGTTGCCTAACTTGAAGACCAGCAGAGCTCAGGGCCCCACTATGGGGCCACCAGTAGGTTTAATCTCTCTAGATCTCTTCTTCTCCTGGGGAAGGGAACTGTTTTCTGGTGTGTATGAGATAGACAGAAGTATGAAAGGGGCCTTTCTCATCAGGATATTTTCTCCAAGACATCTGTGTAGACCAGGAGCTGACAAACTTAAGGCACGTGGGCCAAATCTGGCTCAGCACCAGGTGTTTGATAAAGTTTTATTGGGACACAGCCTTGCCTGTTCTTTTACATGTTATCTCTAGCTGCTTTTGTGCTACAGTGGCAGATGAGTGATTGGAGACTGTATGACCCACAAAACCAAAAATATTCACTATCTGGCCCTTCACAGAAACAGCTTTTCAACCCCCGGTTGAAGACCTTTATGACACGAAAGCCCAAAGGCTTCTGCCGTCTTCTGCTGTTATCTCTCTCCCCTAAAGCAACAATCGCAAGGTGGCCTTGCTCTCTGAACATGAAAAATGACAAAGGAAGAAAAAGAAATACACAACATGAAATGAATAGTGTGTCGAGATGACATTTGGCCAACAGGTGTGTGTGATTTGTGGGAATTCATTGACCAGAACAGTTTGGACGTGTGCCCTTTTCTTTCTTTCGTAGGCTGAATTTCAATAAAAAGTGTTGGGGGTGGGAGTGGATGAGAAATCTTATTCCATCATGATGACCTTGGCATCATGGAAATGAATGGAACCAATGAGGTTGCCCAGGCCTTCCTCCAAGGACACCCTGGGGCCTTGCAGAAGCACAGGGCAGAGCCATGCTTTGGCCAGCCAGGCCCTCACACGTGTGGACTTGGCCAGTGAACACAGCCTGGGTCCCCAGAATGGCTTAAAACCCCAGCCTCGGCACAGAGCATCTAGGACCCAAGACCACAGCATTGACCATGTGTGGTCTCACACCTGCCTAGGCAAAGGTAGTGCAGCCCAGATCTAACTGGTCTCCACTCGAAGCCCATGAGCAGGTGAACTCCTTGTTCTTATTCTTTTCATTATAAAGTAAACGAGCTATGTATTTACTCATCCTGAAACTTAACCTCCAGAGTATACCTGGGGGCCATTTACAGGTCTTCATGTCAGAGAAGACCCCTGCAGAACACACACACACACGCGCACACACACACACAAACACACACACACTCTAAAAATGTCCTTTGGGTTTTCAGTGTTACCTATGGCCAAATTTTAAGTTCAGATCAGATGAAGGACGCAATGGGTGGATCTTGCTGAACTGATACTCACTGCCTTCTCTTTCCATATGACCTTGATTTGCAGTTCTCAGATGCACGTTTCAGAGGGTTCACTTAAACATGCCGGCAATGTGGGTCTGGGATTGTGGGCATTTGGTCTGTAACAGCAGAGAGGGGGTGGCTTTGGAAACCTTGCCCTGCCCTCCCCCGCTCCTGGCAAGAGAGACAGAAACACAGCTCTCCTGCTCTTTAGTCGCACCATCTGGTTAATGCAGACCTTCGTCTTCCTTCTAGCCCTGGGCCTGGAGGCACACACTGCCCGGGTGCCAGTGTGGAACACGCGGTCTGCGAGAACCTGCCCTGCCCCAAGGGTCTGCCCAGCTTCCGGGACCAGCAGTGCCAGGCGCACGACCGGCTGAGCACCAAGAAGAAAGGCCTGCTGACAGCTGTGGTGGTTGATGGTAAAGGCATATGGCATGTCCTTGCATGGCAACCTCCTATCCTCCCCGAGGAACATACAAACCACCTAGGGAAGTCGGGGAGCATCCCCTTTCCCAAACCAACCCAGCAAGGCACTCCAGTCCTCTGCCCAAGTTAGCTGCAGCCCAACTTTGTAAGTTGTGGGGTTGACCTTGAATGACCCAACTCTCTGAGATGTTCCAACTGCAGCTGTTGAAGCAGGCAGCAGGCCAGGTGCATCCTCCAACCCCATTTGTAGCAAGGAGGCTGTGCTGGCATCCTGCCCCTGGTGCCGTGTGTAGAGGGACCCAGGATAAGCTGAGGAGACCGAGACTTTACAGGAGCATCCCAGTGTGTTGGTGTGGCTGCTGTCTGGCTTTCCATTGCAGATGCTTCCCTGTATTGCTTCTCTTGGTTTATTTTGTATTGGCTCTTAATCCTTGGCTAGGATGTTGGGGGACATTTTGAGAATAGTTTACAACTTGGGAAAGATGATAATAAGCACAGGTCACATTTTCTTTCCAAGAGCTTTCTCCTGAATCAAGAGGCTCTGCCCCATTGGGCCACTGCCAGCATTTCCAGTAGCTGATGAAGTACTAGGTGGTGTGTCATGTATACATTTGTAATGTCTGCTTAATTAATGTCCTTAATAGATAAGGACACCCCAGGGCCCGCCTCAGGGTTGTTGTTGTTTTTTTCTTTTTTCACCTAAAACTGTTCTTCTCTAGGAAACAAGACTTTGTATTATAATGATGACATATGAGCCCGTTTATCTGTATGTCATGTACAAGACACAAGTTAGCTCTACCTACATTGTCTCGTTTAATACGCAAAACAAGCTGTGCAGAAGATCAGAGGGAGTGAGGTTACAGGACTCCTCTCAGCGCCTGCAGCTGACAAGAGGCCAGGGCGGGAGCTGACCCCAGTTCCAGAGCGGCTGACTCACAGAAAATAGGCAGCTGTTGTCTGGCTTCCCACACTTGAAGAAGACAGACAGCATGACTTCATGGGTGTGGGGTGAGGGAGCTTGAAGAAGAACTCAAGAAACTGGGCCCGATTTTTAGACAGCCTCAAAAATGTTTTGCAGAAGAATGACGTTCGGATGCCAGGTCTTTTGTTTCTTCCCCGTGATGGGAAGAGCCTTTGAAATCTGCATTCGGTGGTCTGCGATTGCAAGTTCAAGTGTGCATAGCTGTGTGAAGGTAGGCCCAGGCATCTCTGGAGTAGCAGCCTCAGATCTGCAGCTTTTACTCTAACAGCCTGACCCATCCTCTTTGAGCTGACTCGTAAAGCAACATGTGATGCTCTAAACTGTAGCAGATAACACCAGCCCACTCAAATGAGGACTCATTTAAAAGTATTGGGGAGCCCCTCTCATTCTCCTTTTTTAAAAAGAACACCACCTTCGGGGACTGTGTAATGTAGCTGTGCCATCAGCTCGCCAGCAGAATTCAAGAGAAACATGGCCTTTGCACACTGAACTTTCCCTGCAGATGAGGGAGAGAGGAGACCTGCCCTCCTCAAAAGAACGAGTGTGACTAGAGCCATGCACTTGCACGTGGACCTTTGCCTCTCTCTGCCTGGCCATGAATCGGATGCAGGAGGTGGCAGGAGGCAGCAGGAGACTTCCTGCTGTGTCAGGCACACCCAGACCCCAAATTGGAAGCGAGAGAGCTGCCATTTGGTTCTCATGAGAAGCAGCCTTGAATCCGAACCTTCAGCTTTCCCTAGCATGCCAGATAAAGATGCTTTTAGACCTCTTTACTGTTCGCTCCCACTTTGCAGGAGCAAGAAGAGGTCAGGTCTGGGACAGATTCGCGCTCTTCAAATTTCAGCTCAACTTCGTGCACCAAGTTGTTCTTTCCTTGGTTGCCTGCTTCAGTGTTCAATGCTCCTGTCTCATTTATTCAACACAGAAATCCCACTTAAATGTCTGTTTTTCCACAGTTTTCTCCAAGTCCAGATTAAACTTCTGTTTTCCTTCTGACCGCTTTTGGATGGCTGGACTCTCTGGTTGCCTTATCACCACAGTGGCTGGGACTTCAGTCTGCCCAGATCCTCCACCCAGGAAGCCTTGCGGTGTGGCTCTTTGGGGAGCTGCTTGGATTGGGAATGTGACCTTTCACCCACTTACTTTCTGTTTCTCTCTGCCTAAGTCATAAGTTACTGTCACTAGAGTGCCACCGCCTTTGATCTGAAAAGAGCAGCCCTGTTTGATAAGGACAGCTAACAGGCAGTAAGTATCTCACGTTTGAAGGAGACACCCCACGCTCTGGGCTTTGCACAGGTAGCTCGACACGTCCTCCTCTGGGTTAGAATCGCCCTGACTTCTTCCATCTGCAGTTGCATTTCTCTCTCAAATACAAACAGAAGCCAGCACTTTTAAAAGGAGCATTTCCTAAAGGGTAAAAACAAAATAATAAAGGGCCAATTTAGAAGGCAGGAGGAGAATACGGATTATAAGTGTTCCTCTGAAAACTCCATGTATAAAAGGCACAGTTCTAGCTGAGCCATGATAGGAACGATTCCTGTGGTTGGGCTCCGGGCTCTTCTGAAGCCCATTATGACTGCCCTATTCATAGCAGTGCTATCGCCGCGGAATTCTTTGGCGAGTGACGCACAGTTCAAGAGAAGGGAAGCTAAATTTTTTTCTTTTTTTTCTCTCCCTTTTTTAAAAAGAAAAAGGAATTCTTGCAGAGGTAGATTTTCCAAGCGAGGATTCAGGACCACAAATCCATCCCACCTCCAAAAGAAGACAAAGACCCTCCTTAGAAAATATTTCTAAGTGGAAAAGCCTTTAGACAGAAACCCATTGAGATGGCCCACTGCCAAACCCACCCTGTTTCTGCTTTTCCCGTGGAATCTCATTGAAGTGGAAACCTTCAAGAGTTCAGTCCTCCCTGCCCAGGCCAGCAGGCCGCGGGCCCACTGAAGTGTCGGAGAGCTTGGCAAAGGCTGCGTCTGGACGTGGCTGTGCGTTCCCAGCTCCTCCTGCCTGGCACAGCAGAACCCCCCAGGTCTGAGCCTCTGTGGGGATGAAGGGCGTGATGGTTAGGACTCTCTGACTCCAGCTCCGCCAAAGCAGCTGGGGCTGCTTAATGAAAAGGAGGGAAGCTGTTGCAAAGCTGAAGATGTCAGGACCTTAGCGCGGTGGTCTCTGCAGCTTGTGTTTGGCAGTCACACCCCCATGCACCCACTGCACTGGCTTTCTCAGAACTTGTCCACGTGCAAGCTGGCAGGGTAGCCCACGGCACCTCTTATGTAAATCCACATCCCGTATCCACATCCTTTTCGGCCACATACATTTCAGGTTGCAGAGCATTTTATGTGTTCAAAAGGTAATAATGGTGCACCAACCAAATACTTGTATCACTGGTGGGCTCCAGGAAGCACCCCATAGTCAGACACGCGGGTCTGTCCACCAGGTAACCTCATTAAGGGGGATACTGACACTACCAAGAGCTCACATCAGTCCAGGCTGGTTTTGCTGCCAAATGTGTTTGCCACAAATGGAAGACAACACTTACAGTTTTCGGAGCTTTTTGGATTTCTGAATTACATATAAAGGAGTGTGGCCTTCTTTGGGATCCATCAAGCATGAGCAGACATGACTTCTCTGCATCTGAATTTCAGTACTGAGTTCCCAGGAAAGAGACAAGGAATAGGCCAGCTATGGACAGGCGCTCACTGCTGGTCAAATCCACAGAGGCCTGTCTGCCAGGGCCTGATGAGGGGGCCGGGGTGGGCAGCTTTGGGAACAGGAGTTTAAGTAGCCCCTTCAGCATGTGTCCCCCACAGAGGACCAGGGAGAACTTGGATGAATGCTGTGATGAACTCAAAATAAAGCAGTGTCTCCACCATACTAAGACCTTCTAACTGCTGGCCTAGAGAGAGAGAGAGAGCAGTGAGACTACTGAGAGCCACGAGTGTCTTCTTCACTGCAGAGGAAGGTTTCAAACCTCCAGCGGGCACATGTGACCATGTGGCTCCCAAGCTTCTGAGCCCATCATCCCTGCCCTGCCTGTGACCGCCTCCAGCCAAGCGGAAGTCCTAACGCCAGGCAGGCCAGCAGGAAGCCAGACTGGCTCCAGGCTTTGCAGCATCAGTCAGAATTCCATCTGAGCACACACCAGCCATGCAGATGGCACGTTCCAAGCTTCCTTCCTTCAAGTGTGTGGTTGTATAACTTTTAAGAAAATGTGATCTCCTTCTGTACTGCTGGGAATGTAAGAGTGTTGATGCTGTGCCCAAAGCTGAATCCCACCACCTCATGTTATTTATTGGGGTCTTATTCCTGGAGATTAATCTCCCACCTAAGGCAGCCTGGAGGGAAATAGAGAATTTTGAGGAATTCGGAGCCTCCTCCACACATTTTAAGAACCTTATCCTTTGGGAGATCATGCCATATAGTTTGCTAGAGGTGTGGGTACCCTGAATTCCAAGCAGAGGCCTCAAAGAGAAGATGGACAAATGGAGAGTTCTGACTGAGCAGGGAAGGGAAGCCCCACCTCCAGACTCTGTTCTGGAGCCCGAGTGTCCCCGGCTGTCCAAGCTGTGGAGGGCGGTGTCTGCATGTGAGAGAGCTGCATGCAGGTGGAGCTGAGCGTTCCTTCCTGCGAGGCTCATGGCCAGCATCCCTTCAGCTGAGGTTGGCCTTCCTGCTTTGCAGAGTCCACATTTCTCTGCTCACCCTAAAGAGTCCAGATAAACAGCCTTCATCCTTTTCAAGTCTGGCCTTTCTAACTTGCCTCAAAAACAGCCTCTGCTTTTCTACCCAAGTCCCACTTCCACTTCTGCTCAAATCAGAGGATACACTCGGAAGCCAGAAACCTGCATGAAACTGATGATTTGTTTTTAGCAATGCTACTTTGCTCTTGATAATTTTGGCCTTAGGAGTTCTCAGTTTAGAGAGGAAATTGCGATAATGGAAAAAGAACCAGGCTGGAGCCAAGAGGCTGGGGCGTGGCCCACCAACTGCAGACAGTCGAGCACTTTCTGTGAGCCCTGTGTGCATGTCTGTATAATGGAACGATGACAGCACCCACCTGAAATGAATAGACGGTACTTAGCATGCTGCCTGGAACACAGTGATAGTAAATGTCATTTATGATTTCGTCATCCTTACTACTGTTGAACAATTCACCTCAAAGCTCAATTACTCCCAGTACTGAGTCTACATTTCAGTCTGAAGGTAATTAAAATCCACTTCAGCCAAGGGACCCTTGCTTTCAATGAAACAGTAGAGGCAGCCCAGTATGTGGAGTAGACCCCACGCTGGGGGCTGTGTTGCTCTATGTCTCCCACCAGCTCCCCAAGATGCTTGGGGAACCTCAAGGCCCCAGAGGGTACCTCAGTGACCCTGTCAAGCAAGCTCCCTCAAGCTAATCTCAGTGTACGTCTCCATCTTCCAGAGTTCTCCTTCCACCAGCCACCTCCTGAGGTCCTTCCCTGCAAATGGAAGGACAGCTGCCCCTAGCCTGCCAGCACAGGAAATGAGTCATTCCTTCCAGGCTGCACCCAGCCCTCCGACAGCTCCCATCAGACCTGTCACATGTGGCTTCATCCTGGATTTGCTATGCATTTGTCCATGAGCCCACTGGGGCCTTCAGAAGCAAACATCACGTGTCTGTCTTTCCCCAGAAATGCCCCCAGAGTGCCTTGTATGAGGGAGGGGCTCAGTCCCTGCTTGGTGAATGGATATATGGTGAGGCATCGTTACTCTGCTGTCCTGGGAAGCTTAAGATCTCCAGTCTACTCTCGAGCAGATGTTTTCCCCCACAGCTAACTGGAAGAACTGAGTGAAGCATTTCCACCACACTCCTGGAGCTTCTTTCCAGTGCTGTAAGACAAGATTTCCTACGGAGCCTGCTCAGCAGCAGAGCTTCGTGGGACAGAAGGCCTGGAAAGCGACCGAACACAGGGGTGGTTTAGTTCTCCAATCACGAGACAGCACATCTGCCCTGACGAGAACTCTGCCAAGGTCCTCCAAGGCCAGGTCAGCTCAGAAACCTCTCTCTGTCCCTGTTCTTGCTAGCCCCAGGCCACCAGAAGGACCCACTGAGGAGGCCTGGTGGAGAAGACAAAGAGCAGCAAGGAGGATAAAGGTCTTTGACTCTCCCCCTGTGCAAAGTAACCACATAGATAGCATTAGGGTAAGGTGACTGAGAAAAAGAGAGAGGGGAAAAATGCATTCCTCTTGCTCAGTTACTTACAGAAGAACAAAATCTATTAAACCTATTTGTTCAAAAATATATACTGAGTCTTGCCGGGCGCAGTGGCTCATGCCTGTAATACCAGCACTTTGGGAGGCAGAGGTGGGCAAATCACGAGGTCAGGAGGTCGAGACCATCCTGGCTAACACATTGAAACCCCATCTCTACTAAAAATACAAAAATTAGCTGGGCATGGTGGCGGGCACCTGTAGTCCCAGCTACTCGGGAGGCTGAGGCAGGAGAATGGCGCGAACGTGGGAGGCGGAGCTTGCAGTGAGCTGAGATTGTGCCACTGCACTCCAGCCCGGGCAACAAAGCGAGACTCTGTCTCAAAAAACCGAACTCTATATATGTGTATATATATATATACACACACACACAGACACATACACACACACATATACGTATATGTATATATGTGTGTGTGTGTGTGTGTGTGTAGATATACGTATACATATATGTGTATATAGGTGTATATACACACACACACACACACACACACACACACACACACACTGAGTCTTTCTGTGAGCCAGGTCCTGGGCCCAGTGTGGGGACAAAAAATGAAAGCTTAAGTCCCTGGCCCTCTAAGAGCTCACAGACTCAGCATTACTTCAATCTGAAGATGATTAAAAGTCATCCCTCTCACACTCCTTTAGCAGTGGGACCTGCCTTATAATAAATCCCTTCATTTTTGGGAGGTGCCCAGACAATTCTAGGACAACAGGCAGATGCTGGCGCTTTAATGGAGGTGTGTGCACAGTGCGTGTGGAGATGCTAGTCCTACCCCACGTCAGAGCTGGCTTGAGGGAAGAGCTGCAGGGTGGAAGTTTCCAGGGCAGTAGAAGGCAAGGTGCTGCAAGGGATTTCCAGGCTGAGAGAGCATCCTGGGCAAAGACTTGGGAGCTGGGCGTGTTCTGGGAGGTCACGTGTTTTTAGAAGCAGGGGAAACCCAGGTTTCCATCCTGGCTGAGTGCACATGCGGCTCATGTAAGTTGTCCTAGCAGCCCACATGTCCCCTTTGTCCCCCTTACTCCCACTCACTTCCTTCTGGGATCTCCATGACCCGTAGCACAGCTCTGCAACTGTCACCCAGCAGCTAGGGGAGCACTAAAGCTCTTACCAAAGCTACTGTCATGGAGACCCTGGGAGCCACTCCCCCCACTCAGAGCCATTCTTGTTCACCTTCCCCTCCCCCTCCCTTCGCACCCCTGCTATAAGAGTGGCTCCGCTCACCCTTGACGTGTATTCAACTAGAGATTAGCATACAACTATTCCTTTGTTCAGCCGGATATATTTGATGCCTTAAGGGAAAGGAAATGCTGTATCATTGCAAAGAATAGAGAGATGAGAAAAGGCAGCCCCACAGAGCTCAGACCTGCGCTGTCATTCCCGAGACTGTGGGTCTTTTTCCACTTGCTGTTTAGAGGAGCTGGAGCCTGTACCTGAGCTCATGCACTTTTATTGACTTGTGCCGACCTCTCTTCCTCAGGGTTTCCCACTGCCCACATGTACCTGCGCCCTGCATGGCCCACGCACACCTTCCCATGTCAACGTCCCCCAACTTTTCCCTCCTCAGATAAGCCATGTGAACTCTACTGCTCACCCCTCGGGAAGGAGTCCCCACTGCTGGTGGCCGACAGGGTCCTGGACGGCACACCCTGCGGGCCCTACGAGACCGATCTCTGCGTGCACGGCAAGTGCCAGGTGACGTACTTCTTCAGTCCTTGGTGGGGCTTTGGAGAAGAGACTCTCTCTCCCCAGACAGGGAGTGGGGTAGAGCAGAGGTCTCAGGAGGCCTCGGGGAGTGGATTTTCTTAGGAAGGCACCCAGCGATGCCGCCTCCTGCAGCCAGCGTTGCCTGGCGCACCACCCCTAGCTCAGTAATGACTGAGCGCTAGGCCAACAAGGAGTGGAGGTGGCTGAAAGAACAGGCACAACATATTCTAAGACTGAAAATTGCTTTAGGCATCATGACTAAGACGAAGGTAGGCAGGGTACTAAGATGCACCTAAAGGATATCTGCACAGGCCAGGCTCTGTTTAGTGCAAAAGAGACGGCAGAACTGAGCCAATTCCTGTGCAGGTAACGCCAGGCAGACAGATGCGCCCAGCTGTCGGGGGTCACCCATCTACTGGTATATAGTCCCAAAGGCATTGAGGGCTGGATGGCCATGACTGGTTAGAACAGTGATAAAAATCATTTGAGAAAAGAAAGAGAGGCTGGGTGTGGTGGCTCACGCCTGTAATCCCAGCACTTTGGGAGGCCGAGGCAGGAGGATCATAAGGCCAGGAGTTGCCTCGTCAACATGGTGAAACTCTGTCTCTACTAAAAATACAAAAATAAATTAGTTGGGCATGGTGGCACGCACTTGTAATCCCAGCTACTCGGGAGGCTGAGGCAGGAGAATTGCTTGAACCTGGGAGGCGGAGGTTGCAGTGAGCTGAGATCGTGCCACTGCCCTCCAGCCTGGGCAACAGAGCAAGACTCCGTCTCATCAAAAAAAAAAAAAAGGAGGGAGGCAACACGAGAAGAAGGAAGGAAGCTTGCCCTCCACCTATATTAACCCCGCCCAAGCTGGGGGCCACCTGTAGCCCTTAACCTCCCCAGCTGGGGCTCCTGGCCTGGGGTAGCAGAGATGACTCTGTGCTCCCATTTTGTCCCTCAGAATGAGCACCTCCTGAGGTGATACAGCAGCTGGGATAGGGGGTGGGTGTCAAGAAGCTGTGTATTTTCCATGCCTAGAGGGGCGTGACACCTCACTTATGCCACAGGCACCGTACTCCCTGGTGACTTGGGTCAAGCTGGGCATGTTGTGAGAGAGCCCCAGCATCTTAGCTTGGGCATCTGTAATGACGCACCATACACCAGGCAGCTTATGAACAACTGACATTTATTACAGTTCTGGAAGCTGGGAAGTCCAAGATTGAGGCATTGAGGCACGGGCAGATTTGGGATCTGATGAGGGGTTGCTTATCATAGACAGCGTTTCTTGCTGTGTCCTCGCATGGTGGAAGGGGCTGGGGAGCTCTCCTGTGAGTCTCTTTCTGTTCTTGAGGGTTCTGCCCTCATGTCCCAGTCACCTCCCAAAAGATCCCACCTCCTAACACCATCACCTTGAGGGGTGATGATTCAACATATGGATTTGAGGAGACACAAACATTCAGACCACAGCACCCAGGGAGCCTTCTGCCCTTGCCACACACACCTGTTCCCGTCATCCTATGGCCATGTTCCCTCAACTGTGTCCTCCACTGGGGAGCCCACCAAGAGCAAGTGACGATGGCAGCTCCTGATGTCTGGAGCAGGCAGATCAGTGACAGGATCACCATGCATTGCCCTCACAGAACTGTGGCTGAGCCAGATGCTGGCTTCCAGGCGTCAGGTCCACTTGCCCATGTGGACAGCAGATCCGCTTACGCGCTTTGCCTGCTCAGTGCCTAGCAGAGTGCATAAGCATCAATGTTTTAGTGTGCGTGACAAACAGAACAAGAGGAAGCAAGGCATAAAGACAGACACAGAGACAACTTCCAGGGTGATTGCTGCAGCAAACTGTTTCAACCCAAACAGATGTTTTTTTTCCCTGCTAAGGCCAAATCAGTCTGAAACTGGGATTTTTCAGGGAAAAGTTTGACAAGACCCAGACTTCTTTGGCACTGCCTGGCTGTGTTATCAAATACAGATAAGTGTGGGTGATAAGCGCCTGGTGCCCGAGTGTCTTGGCACAGCAGCCTTACAGGGAGGGAGGTAGTGATGAGTGGTTGAGCTGGCCCCTCCTGGCTGCTTCCTTGTAACAAACAATGTCCAAGGCCCTGCCCCTTAGGCAGTATGGACAAAGCCCTTGTCGTTGTTACTGAAATGAGGCATTGCTGATGGTTCTTGGTGAACTTCTAACCAGCCAAGTGCAGGGCTGGTGTCCTTCCTAAATTACACACTTGCACAGACCATCCTGCCTAACGACTTAACGTTCCTCCCAAGTTAGAGTTCTTGCACCCTTTAGAGCAGCACCAGCCAAGCCACCCCCAACCTCTGCCAGCATCTTCTGCAGCATTCTTGCCAATGGGGAGGCATTTCTAAGAATCCTGAAATTCTCTAGCCAGTGGGGTCTGTGTTACTGGCTGGACATAGTTTCTGCTCTGTGTGATCTGTGCCAATGGGCCCCATCCATGACCTTGGTTTTAATCATAGCCTTTTCAACTAGTGGATGTTCTCCATACTATGACAATGAAACCTTTAGTCAGTGGAATCAAAGACAAGATGCTGCTCAAGGCATTTGAATGGCCTAAGTCTATAGTCATCAGGATACCATTGAGCCCAACCCTGTTCTGCACTTGGGTGTTATCTTAGTCAATTCAGGCTGCTCTAACAAATACACTAGACTGGGTAGCTTATAAGCAACAGACATTTATTTCTCAAGTTCTGGAGGCTGGAAATCCAACATCCAGGGGCCGGTGTTATTCGGTTCTGGTGAAGGCCCACTTTCATGCTGTAGACTGCTGCCACTCTGTGTCCTGACATGGCATAAAGAGAGCTAGTATCCAGGTATGGTGGTGCAGGCCTGTAGTCTAAGCTACTCTGGAGGCTGAGGTGGGAGGATCACTTGAGCCTGAGAGGCGGAGGTTGCAGTGAACCAAGATTGTGCCACTGCACTCCAGCCTGGGTGACAGAGTGAGAGGATATCTTAAAAAAAAAAAAACAAAAAACCCTTTTCTTGAGGCCAGGTGTGGTGACTCACACCTGTAATCCCAGCACTTTGGGAGGCTGAGGCGGGCAGATCACTGGAGGTCAGGAGTTCTAAGACCAGCCCAGCCAACATGATGAAACTCCATATCTACTAAAAATACAAAAAAATAACCGGGGGGGGGGAACGGGGCCCGGAAACCCAACCAACCAAGAAGCCAAAACAAGAAAAATGCCTGAAACCGGGAAGGGGAAGAAGCAAGGAACCCAAAATAAAACAATGCAACCCAACCCAGGCCAAAAAAGGAAAACCCAACCCAAAAAAAATAAAAATAAGAGAGAGAGCTAGCTCCCTAGCCTCTTCTTACAAAGGCACCAACACATTCATGAGCTCTACCCCTTCTTGACCTAATCACCTCCCAGAGGCTTCACTCCCAAATACTATCACATTGGTATGAACGGTTCAATTTATGAATTCTAGAAGACACAAACATCCAGTCCATTGCAGATGTGATGGGAGTGACATTGGGGTGCACGCCTTCCTGTTCCCAGACGGCACTCCATCCCCAGGACCAGCTCCAGTCTATCTCCAGTGCCCCCACCATTGTCATCATCATTGCAGGAATTGGCTGGCACCTGCACTGCACCTCACATTAATCAAGTAGAGTCACCGGGGTGCGCAGGTGCAGATGGAGGCACCTTTCATGATGCTCAGTGGTGGCCTCTTGTTCCTTGGGAGACTTACCCTGCCACTGCAGAGACCCTGCCTGCCAGTTCTTGAAAGCACCATCTCCCGGGTAGCTGCACCCTGGTAACCTGCTGCCTCCGGGCAGTCCACCAGTCTTTGCAAAAGAGCCACCATCCTGACGGGTGGCAACAGCACCTGCCTGCATGCACCTCTCCAGGTTAAAACCCTGAGAAACAACCTGCTTTCTGAAGGAAGTTAAAAAGCCATCTGCTATTGGTTTAACAGTACTTTCTTCAGACAGATACTGTAAAGATTAACCTCAGCCCACTCTTAAATCAATGCTCACAAAACTCCAAATTATTAGTCATAGTTAATGAACTTTTATAAAAATTGAGCATTCTTAAATAAGATCACAAATTCAATTCAAATATAGTACTTACGTCTTGTTGCAGTAATTGCCAAGATGGAACATTCTGGATTCCTGTGGCATTTGTGAATGCATAAAGCAAGAAAAAAATGGTTAAGAAAAATAATAGTAATTGTAATTTTAAAGTCTCAGGGGCCTAATGAGTGGAGAGTCTGTATCCATTGGTAATAATTGTCTAATTACAACAGATTAAACATACACATCACCCACATTTTATGCGAGACAGAACTCAGAAATATTGCTGCGGTTTGCCTACTAGCGTTTCCCTCTCTTTCCCCTTCAGCTATAAATTGTGCTATTTTGGGGTAACAGACGGCATTCTGGGAAATGTCGAGGAACGTAGTAACTAGTTGGTAGGGGATGAGAGGCTTCAAAATGGCATTTTGAGTAGATTCCACTACGCTTCAAATAGGCTGATTCAAACCATAACATGAAACATGGAAATACCATTTTATTCTGTTTTTATGAGGACTGAATTAAGTTTCATTTCAGTGAGTCACAAATTACTTAACATGCTGAAATTAAACTTAACGGCACTCATAAAATTGGGAGGGAATTGGGGGAAGTCACACAAACATTGTATATTTTTCAGCAAGCCCCTATAAATCAAGAGTCCCATCATTAATGGTTCCTACTGTTGGCCTCCAGAAGGAAAGAAACGGCGATAATAAGTCTCTGATACACAACTGCATCTGGAGCTGCTGACATGCAAAGAGTGAGTCCAGCTGACACACGGCTTTGCCTGTTGGACGGTGGACAGACCCAAATGTACCTGAGACCCAGCTATGCTTGCCTTACTGGTTTGTGCACACTTGTGGCCAACATTCTCCAATTCAGTTCCTACTTCCTTGGTACCGTAGAACCCGTAATGTTGTAACCATATCCTGGCTTGAGAACACCAAGCCAAACGCA